TAAATTAATACTTTTATTCAGCAAGGATGCATTAAATCGATCAAATTGACAGCAAAGACATTTATAATGCTACAAGATTTCTATTTCGAATAAATGCTGCTCTTCCACATGCTTTCAATGTGGAACTAGCTACAGCTAGACAGAGTTTCTTCTCAAACCTTATACACAGCAACTTAAACAACACTCGCACTCTTTTTGCTACTGTTGAGAGACTGACAAACCCCCCCAAGCCAGATTCCCAGTGAAATGCTCATTGACAGCAAATGCAATGAGTTTGCTTCCTTCTTTTCTGAGAAGATCATTAATATCAGGAAGGCTATTAGCACATCCTCAAGTTATGCAGAGGTCAGACAGATTCAACCGCAATATTAAAAAGAAAATACTATGTCTATTTTTGAAGCAACTGATAGCAAAATTTTGGAAGAAATAGTACAGCACCTAAAATCGACAACCTGCTATCTTGACACACTTCCCACATATTTTTTTCAAAAGGGTGCTAAACTGTTTGGAAGCAGATCTCTTAGAACGCCTCACTTCTTTCTGGGACTTTTCCAAACTCCCTGAAAACTGCAGTTGTTAAACCCCTTCTGAAAAAGAGCAATCTTGATAACACCATTTTGAGCAATTATAGACCAATATCAAATCTTCCTTTTATAGGCAAGATTATTTAAAAGGTAGTTTTAATCAGCTGAACAAATACTTAAACTCAAATGGATACCTGGACGATTTTCAATCTGGTTTCCAACTGCATCAGCACAGAGACAGCGCTCATTAAGACAATAAATGATACTCTCTTAAATTCTGATTCTGGCAAAATATCAGTGCTGGTACTACTACATCTCAGTGCTGCGTTTGACAATGTCGATCATAACATACTTCTAGAGAGACTGGAAAACTGGGTCGGGCTTTCTGGGAAGGTAATCAAATGGTTCAGGTCATACTTAGAAGGGAGATGTTATTATGTGAGTATAGGAGAGCATAAGTCTAAGTGGACGTCCATGACATGCGGAGTCCCACAAGGCTCAATTCTTGTACCGCTCTTGTTTAGCCTGTATATGCTCCCACTAAGTCAAATAATGAGAAAGAATCAAATCGCCTATCACAGCTATGCTGATGATACCCAGATTTACCTAACCTTATCTCCAAATGACTAGAGTCCCATTGACTCCCTCTGCCAATGCATTGATGAAATTTTCTTCAGTTAAACAAGGAGAAAACTGAAGTCATTGCATT